TTTTTAAATGTTAAAAAAAACACAAAAAAACGCTGATCTTATTCAGGGAATAAGGGACCTTTTTCTTTGCCAAAAAGTGTAATAGGAAAACTGAAAGGCCACCTGTGTCAGCCCACCCTATAGTATGAACATAAGCTATAAGAGTATTTTGGAAAATATCTTTAAACTGAGATGAGAAAAAAAAATCAATATCAATACAGATTCCAAGCAGATGCAAAAGGCTTCTGTGCATGTTAGTGATTATGTGTGTGGCCTGCACAGCCTAATTTCAGATGCCTCCCAAACTCAGTGTACTTTCTCTTTTATAAACTCTTTGGGATTAAAACTAGGACCTCATCCATATCAACTTTGACAATAGACACAAATACAGCATAAGCTAATCAAGCCAAACAAGTTTAATTTCCCCCCTCATAGATGGCTCTTTTAATCTTAAATGCCTACTGAATTTTATAGACATGCTACACTTAATATTTTGACAGTTGTTTATTAAAATTACTTTCCTAGGAAGTTCTATGAAACCAACAGTGTAGTTTGTATCAGAACTGAGGCGATCAGAGAGAAGTCAAGATGATGGCATACTTGCAGCAAGCAGACAACAATAGGAAACTCTTAGCACTCCCAGAGTTGCATCAAATTTTCCATGGACCGAAACTAAAATGAAATAGTTCAATTACTAAGAGGTAGATAAGTAAAATAAACAACTAATTTCATACAGTGAAGTTGGGAGAGAGTCATATGGACCTCATTCTGTTGTCTCCAAACACTGTATCGGAGAGGAAAAAGGAGCTGAATAAACTTTAAACTCTCATGTAGGGATGTATTGCTTGTGTGTCCCTGGCAGATGTGGAAAGGAGATGAAATGGGCAAGGGAGAATCAAATATCCCATCGCTGCAGGTTTGCTGAGGGAAAGAGCACTGCAAAGATCTCACATCTGGCAATCATTTGTCAATAGCTGGAAAGAGAACGGCAGGAAACTTTCTGGCTCTTGGAGAAGATGAAAAGACAAAAACCATGTGTCACACACACACACACACACACACACACATTCTGCAATGGTACAATGACTACTACACTTATTCTCCACCCCTCTTCTCCCCCCCTAAATTTAATGATCTTCAGATATACTCTACTCCGTGGTCAAAAACATGCAGTCACTTGACTTGTTAAAGCTGCAGTGTATGTACATTTTTCAAATAAACCCCAGGGCTGATGTTAGAAAATCAAAATCAGTCAAGCATAGACCGCCTGGTACTTTGGGCAGGAATCCTTGTGGTTTAGTCAATAAACAGAATCTGAATGAAAGACACCACAGTAACTAGACAGTAACGTTTTGAACAGTTCTTAACCTGAAGGGGGGTTGGGGAAGGCGGGTGCACTAGTGACCATGGACATAAGGTCCACTTAGATGGCTCGCTCTACCTGCAACATGACTGTGTTTAGCACAAGGTCATTTGCTGTTTCTCACACACACACACACACACACACACACACACACACTCACACTCACACACACAGAATGAACTTGTATTTGAGGAATGTTGTGAATGAATTTGCTTGTTGTTGTTTTTTAAATAATTATACCTGTTTAATAGGGTGGGAAGGGGAAACCTCAGATTCTGTGTAGTGCATATTGGTCATAATAATATAGAAAATTTGCTGGCTTCATTATGAGTTCATAAAAATGACCAGTTTTGCCCTAGCAGGTTTATTATGCAATAAAAAGTTTTCAAGACAACCCACACAAAATTAATTAACTTCTCCAAAATCATAGGAATTTAAATCTGGTCATGGTGATCGATAGACTTCAATAAGCAGTTTTCAGTTCACCCTTACGCTGCATTTAACTAGCAGCAGCCAGCCGCCAGGCTCATCCCTGTGATTCCATAAGTGAATGCTGCAGGTTGTTTAATAACCTGGCAAATTCACAGTAGCTTGTCAAATTATTACAGGAACAGTGTCATCACTAAACAAGCCTGATCACGGTTAATTACAATGCAGACTAGAGAGCAGCCACAATTGTTCATTAATTACAGGAAGCACCTCATTTAAATTTTATGGAAATTTACACTTGCACCCCGGTATGTCTGGGAAAAAAAAAGTGATCCTTCACGCATTCACAGAAGAAAGGAGTCTGTGGTTTATGAAACATCACAGTAAATTGTGTCTAATCTGGTACTGAAATATTGGTTCATTATTTACCCTAATTTTCTAAGCACTTTAGTGGTGAAAAATATCAAGTCAATCCCACATCTTGAATTCCCAACCAAGAAAGAAACTGTTGGGTTAGCTCTAACAACTTAATGCAGGATGAAGCACAGTTAGACTCAAAAAGTAACTTTTCTCTGATTGAAAATACAATATTTAATAGCAATTAAGGGAAGTCTAAACTAGAATAACCACTTCCTAGAAAATAACTACATCAGAGCACAATTTTTTGCTAATATCAGTTAACCTCCAAAGCTAAACAAAGTACACAGTTTCATACCCACTTCAAAAACCACTGAGGAAAATCAACAAAATTAGACAGTGAATCTAAGTCTTGATTTCCAGCTACTTTTCAAAGTTAAGCATATTAACACAAAAAGCCAGCAGATACCCTCACAAAAGTCAAGTCAAACACAAACTTCCAGGATAAAAGTTACTCAAAACCAAAGATGCGTTCATGAAACAGTATCAGGGATCTTGGGATCATTAAGCAATAAAGTTGCTAAGCCATCTGAAATTTTAGGGATAGCAAAAAAGAGTGAAAAGGAAAAAGGTAAGAGCAGAAAGGAACTCCACCAGTCATGAGAAATTATGTCAGTTAAAATACAAAAGTAAATCAGATATGGGTGCACTGTATGTCTAAATGAAAATCCTTCATAGGAAAGGATATAAATAAACCATTGCTCCTAAATTGAGGTGTACAAGAGGCTGTTCTCAGAATCAAGAGGCCAAACAGCAAATCCTCTAGTGGATATAATGCCTGGCCCTGGGGGACAGCCTGAGATCCAAGTAGGAAAAATAGATGCCTCTGGCATGTATTATAGTGAGTTCCCTGGAGTGCAGAATTAGACGAAAAACTAAGAAATGGCTCGTTCCTGGGGCAGGGGGGAGGAAGACCAGAATACATGCCATGGCAAGAATGAAAGGACTCTAAGCGAAAAACTACTCCCAAAATTGTTAGCCGGTGAAGAACATTATTAAGTGTCAGGTTTTTTATGACTGACATAATATGGATATGTACCAGATATTATTAAAATGTATGGAAGCCATATTTAGAAAAGAAGAGGAAAAAAGAGAAGGAAATGGTTCAAATGGGTCCCAGTTAATCCACCAATTCACCGTACTTGACTATCTTCTAATAGAATCAACCTTTCCACTCAGTCTGCCAAAATAGTGTTGCAAAAGGAGGAGCCCAATAAAATGAGACTCATTTCTTTGCCCAGGGGCTTGGTCTTCTTTGCAAGGACCGTGCTGAATTGTCAACTCTACAAATGTTTAACTACCTACAACCAGGGTTTCACTTAAACCAGTAAATATACATTTTCTCTCTTGGTATGTTAAAATAATATGCTCCATTGGTCTCTTTCAGTTTTATTTGACGCAGTCACATCTGCAAAACCCATTGCTTTTTGCTCCATAACTCAAGGTTCACAAACAGATTATCCAACAACCACCCATGACAGACCATTCCAGGTGATGTGTTTGAAGAACATCACTCGTCCTACCCAAGGAGGTCAAGGATCAGACCACTCTCCATGAAAAGCCTTCCATCACTCTGCATTTGTGTGTCACACACAAGCTGTTAGCTTTCTAAAACTGGGAAATACATGATCATGTCTCATATGTGTCACACCTGCTTTTCTGTTGTACCATAGCCATACAACACCCGGGCAGTACCAGCTTGTGGCACAGCAGAGCTCAGGTGGTCTTCCCTAGGCCAAGAGCAGGTGTGCAGGAGATGGTATACTCTTCAGTACCATAAAAACTGAAACCTCCTCCTACCACCACTTCTACCTTCACTCCAACTGTGAAGAAGTCAATTTTTAAAACTATTCTCCTGTCTCATATGGGGTGTCTAAATAGTAAAAATGTTTTAAGACCAAGCTTACCATGCTCATCCCATCAGTCTGAAAATTTAGAAAGTGATGCCAAATGGAGTCCCTAAAAAAATGTTATGTGTTTGCTCATGCTAGGGGATGCCATCCATGTTACAACTTCAGCCAGTATCTTTGCATTACTGGCACACACATCCCTTAAATCCTAATAGGCACATAAAAACAGAGCTAGGTCTTCGGCCACGATGTCGTATTTACATTCTTAATCTGATATACACCAAACTACTTCTAACCTCCCAAGACCACATAACATGAACTGAATTCCAAGTAAGTATTGTGTCACAGGACATAGCTCCTAATACATGAAAAGGGAAGATACTTATCATTAAATCATATTTTTCTATACAGTGCCCAGCTGAATGGCTTCTATTCTCCTGACCTGAGGGATAATAATGCAGGAAGCATGACTTGCTCACCATGTATCTCCAGTGCCAAGCACAGTGCTGAGCACATGATACTTTTAAAAGATAAAAGCTAATATTTACTGAGTGCCCATTATGTGCCAGGCCCTTTGCTAACTACTAGGTAGAAGTTAGAACACTTACTCCTTATAATCACTTTGGGTGGTGAATCTCCGTTTTATAGATGGGAAAACTAAAGCTTAGTTTGATAAAGTAACTTGACAAAGGCCTCACTGTAACTTTGTCAACTGAGGCAGAAACCATGCTCTTATCCACTGCAATATGTATCATTTCTTGAATGAGTAAATTAATTATCTCCAGTTACAGACAATTTATCCTGAAAAGGACCTCTCATTGCACACATGCTACCTTGGCTCCTCTTTTACACCTGTCTCAACAGTTGTCCATCTCCTGATGGCCCTGCTATACTTGTATGGCCTTCAGGGACCACTGTGTCTGTCACACCACCCCCAACTAATAAAGCAATAAGACTCCAACCTGGACTTCCAGCCTCTGGTCTGGCTCCTCCAGGTTTGGGCAAAAGTCTGCACCCAGCACTCTGCCAGCACATGCCACTGGAACCTGGGGGAACATGGCCAAGTTAGATGCTGGATGTGGAGGCTGCTGAGAACTGCACAGAAACACATTAGATCCAGAAAGAAGCAGGGACATCCCAACTGCGGGTATGAAACAGGCCATCATGACTCCATTGGTTTTTGACACTCAGTATGTCAAGTATATTGTAAATACCATGTAATCAAGTTTATGAACTACCAGAAGGTAAATTCCAAGAATAAAAGATATACAAAATTTTTATTTCCCCTTGTATCCACAGCATGTAGCACAAAGTAGGCATTATATAAATATCTCTGGATGAAAGCAGAGAAGGTTAAAGTAAAGACAGAAAGAAATGTAGAATCTCTTCTTGATACTGGTGACACTTTTCCCCTCTGTCATTTAATTTGCTTAAGTGAGAGTGAAAAACATTGCATTCTATAATGAATAATATTCCTTTTCACCATTTACTTGATCAAATTTATTTTTCCTATTCATGGAGTAGGTTAGCACAGACAGATTCTGTTTATCAATACTTATTATTTATTTACTATCTCTAAATTTTATTGAAGAGGCTTATTTTATGTCTGTTTCCATAATAAAAATGATAAGAAAACAACTATAATTTAGAATATTTCTCTATATCTAAAATTCTACACTGAAAGCCACTTAAGATTCCCTTTCAGAACTAAATTAGCTAATTAGTTGATCTCATCCCAAAATGTCACCTAATGTCACCTACTTACTTCATTTTAGATTTTTTCTGAGATAAAGACAAAAGGATTTAGATGCCACCTAAACCTGCTTTCTGCTTTTTAAAAAACTTCTCTGAATCACTACTCAGTATTTCCAAACATATACTATCTTTATGAATCATACAACTATGTAGTTCAGAATCTTGGTCCATCAATCAGCTTCACCCTGTCTTCTTTCCCCATCAGAGCCCACCTCTGCTGTTTTGTTCTGTGCTTTAACTCCACTTAGGATTATCTGTGCCAGTCAATTTTCTTTGCTCAGAGATAAGTTTTCAGCCAAGTATGCTGCCTTAGAAGGTATTTCCCTCTTTCTTTTGACCCACAAATCAGTTCACTTCTCTAAATCTAAACAACTTTCAATAAAGTCCACTTTGCAAGTTCCTCACTGAATATTACTAATATTAAAAAAGAGCACTGAGCCGATTCTTCATTTTTAGGACCAACTCTCCAATTTCTTTCAAGTCCTGCATTCTCTCTTCTTGCCTATGTCCCTATGGTGACATGGGCAGATTATCATCTTTCTTTGAAATTAACTGTTCTTTACCCACAAATTTCACACTGGAGCCCAAAGGGAGAAGGAAGAGAATCACATTTACTGAGCACTTGCGGTCATGCTACCCTGTGGGCACCTTACATGCAGATTAACCTGTTTTTTTCTTTGCTACTGTCTTACAGGATATGAGCATCTCCATTTGACAATTCAAAACACAACACAACACAGCAAAACAAAACCAAGGCTTCAGTATAGGTAACTAGCTCGACAAGACTGAGAACAGGGGCGCCTGGGTGGATCAGTCGGTTGAGCACCCCACTCTAGATTTCAGCTCAGGTTATGATCCCATGGTTTATGGGTTCGAACTCCACACTGCGCTCTGCACTGAAAGTAGGATTCTCTCTCTCTTCCAGCCTCTCTCTCAAAATAAATAAATTGTTAAAAACTTTTAAAAAAAAAAGCATGAGGCCTCTTAAAAAAATAAAAAGACAGAACATATTTCAAAGAAGTTAATGAAAAACATGCAATAGTTGCATTTAGTAGCTTACATTCTAGAGGCATTTGCTGATGTTTCATATGAAAGAAATTACAAAAAAGACAAAGGAAGTGGAGAAGGTGTGTTATCAAGACCTACTACTTGCTTTGTGGTCTAGGACAACATAAGCAATGTGAAAGGAATTTAGCCTCTAACTTGAGGAATGAGAAAGAAATGGGGCATGGAGAAGAGCAGAGACACTGTGCATGTGTGTTGTGGCACATGCAGGCTGATGCTGATGCCACCCCTCAGCTGACATATGGAGGGGCACTAATGAGTTCTGCAACAGTAATTCTCCCTATGGGGCAATAGAAGAACTGGGGAAAAAATTCATCTTAGAATATTCCACAGGAAAAGAAAACCCAACACACAGCTTCCTATAAAACCTCAATATATATGATAACTTAACTGATTAAAGCAGATTCCATGAGCCAGAATATATATATTGCAAATTAAGTGTAAATAATACTTTATTTTATGTACATAAAACAAATTCCCACTTACCTTACTAGTATTTGACTGTATCACCAATACTAAGTTTCTAGTTCCTTTTTACCACCCTCTGCCCCACAGAATACATTTTATAAACACTCTTGAGAGGAAAGGAGAAAGTTAAACAACTACAATTACACTCAATTACAACGTCAGACACTTAGAAATACACAGTTTCTGAGAGAGAACAAAAAGGTCTGTGAATAAGTTAGAAGAAAACAGTGCCAGGCTACTAGAGTGTTTCAACAATCCAAATCACGAAAAGAACTACACTAGGGACGTGACTTAGCACTCAAAAACTTAGAATCCTAGAGTTTCTGAGCAGAAAAAAAAGCCATCAGGATCCATGAAAATGGACTCCCATATTTTAAAGATGAGGAAATTGAGATTTAAAACAAAGCTGCAGCTTTACTAATGGGTTCACCATTTAATAATACTCTCCCTCCCCCTTCATTACATTTAGTGGCATTATCAGGTAAAGAAAAAAATTTTAAGTGGAAAACAAGCTATATCTGTTTCTTAATTCATCAAAATATACCAAGGAAAAACCAAAAAATATAAAAGTTGGTAACCTAATTAGTTATAACTCTGCACACCTAGACAATTAGGCCTTTTGATTTACAACCCTCAGTAGTGAGACAGCTAGCTATAAGCGATCAAAAACATGACTGACAGATACAGCAGACATAAATTGTCTGGCTCCTTATTATCACTCCAGTTTAAATTAAGATAATAAAATATGGTGTGTACCTAACCATGGTTTTCCTGGAATATAAAATTTAAATTGATTTGGAGAACTCCAAATCTGCTTTCTTTCATGCTGGTGTTCTCTATAAGGATTTTCACAAATGTTTCACAGTGATTTTTATCTCTGAAAAATGGTAAGACTAAGGGGACATCATATTTTTTATGCTTTTTTGCATTTTAGTATCTTTTGCTATTAAATAAAAACATTTATGTTAAAAACAATAAAAAATATTAAACTCATCGGCTAATATTTCTGAACAGTATGCCACAGGTTTAATTATGAGAATGGTAATTGTCTGGTACTCATCTAAATTTCATTGTGCTAGAGCTGTAACAGGAAGTAAGAGGCCTTGAAAGGGACCCTCTAAAATCCCCTGGGTAAGCTGAAGCTGAGTGCATATCTACTCTCCAGGACATACCTCAAAGGAATCATGGTGTGTGAGAGAGCTATTTACAACTTACTTTGTGTATAATCAGCAGAAACAAAAGATATGACAACAAGCATAAAGGCCTCCCTCTCTTTCCTCCTTTCTCCCCTCTCAGGGGAATTCAGCAAGGGAGGGCCAGTGGGCATTCACTTCAGTGTCAAAAGGGCTTCCAGAAAACACATTTTCTGTGGGGCAGGGAGGAAATATGGCAGGCTTCCTACACACACACACACACACACACACACACACACACACACACACTAGTTCTTTGTTTAGTGAGATCACACGTAAAAATTGTTAGGGGCCAGACTTCTGAAAAGACGACTGAAAAAGCCCCACAAGAGGAGTTACTACTCAAAACAACTGAAACTCAATGAGGCAGAAGGTGTGTGTACCGAATGGAAGAAACAAAGGGACACAGAAATGATAACTTGAGAAACGAAACATGTTACCAAGAAGAGGGATTACACAGTTTGGGATGCTTCTTGCAGAGTCAGAGCCCATTTGAAATTTAATTTCATTTTTAAACATGAAACATTCAGGTAGTCATTTGCCTGATAGGCACTATAAAAATCAGAGCCTAAATAAACAAACTAACTTCCATGTCAGCTCAAGACTCTTCAGTTAAGCTGGCCACAAGCCTGGATCAGTTCTGAAGTGTGTGTGTTTTGGTGACTTCAGTCTAGCAGTTGCAGGGATGAGGGAAACTATTTGAACCCATGAAAAACTTGGAAAAGAGTGGACACACAAAATTCGTTTTAAAAAACACAGAGAAGGAGAGAGAAAAACCAAAAAGAGTCCCATCAGAAGACTGAGGGACATGGCTGGGTACAAGCTCTGTCACATTCCAAGCCAGAGAGAAGCACGGATAGAATCAGCCTAATTTCAGTGGCTAGACAATGCCAAGCAGCAAGAGGAAAAATTACTCAGATAACACAAAGAATTCAGGAAGACCATTAAGGGAAACAGATTTGGCAATAAGCTAGTCAGGAGCTCTTGTGAGAAAGAGCAGAGAAAGAAATAAATTAATTACCCAACACTGTAAAGATAAAGATGTACACTAAACACTACATTTGCTACAAACAAATGAACACAAAAAATAAAAAAGAGGAAGATGCACTAAGTTGCTGGATGTGCAGATAACTTACATCCCAATTTTTCAGGCTACCATTTAACTAAAAGACAACAATCTGGGCCTAACCTTTCTCAGCTGTGGAACCCCAGCCTAAGATTCAGAAGGGAGAAGTATACAAAACCTAAAGCTCAAGAATGAAAATACTGCTTAACAATCAAAAAGGAACTGGTGAGTCGAAACAGTATTGATCCAGTCTCCAATACAGAATGGCCAGAAATATGCTAGTTCTTACAGAGGCCTTAGATGAGGCAGGGTTGTATCAATAGGAACACGGTAAGAATGAGAGACGTATTACAGAACTGAGCAGGACAGGACAGTCCCCTCTAGAGTCATCTCAGAATAATGAACTACAGGATCAAGCGGCAGAGAGCAGAGAAGGGTCAAGGAAGTGATTCTGCTACTCAACAGGTTGACAGACACAGATTACTGCGGGGGGGGGGGG